TAGCTTACAAAACTTATGCTAAGTGGATAACTAAACAGTTAAGGAAATATGCAGGTGAGCCAGGATTGCATCAGGCGGCTTTTACTGCAGAAAGGTCTACAGATGATCCTATATTCGTAGCTAGACGTATTATGGAAGAGTATTGGAACGCAGGTCAGGATCTTTATATACTAGCTCTAGATATTAGCAAAGCGTTTGATAATGTAAAATTACAATGTTAATCAGAAGTTTTGATTAAGATTGGAGTTCCATCGAGACTAATAGATGGAGTATTATTATGTGTTAAAGATGAGATTACAAGAGTTTTGTGGCAGAATCAATTTTCCAAAGAAGTAACGAGAGGAAAAGGAATAAAACAGGGCTGCCCTCTTTCACCTCTGCTGTTCAATTATATAATGCAAGATATTTTAAACAGAGTTGTTGCAAAAATACCGGAACTAAAATTGTTGGATATTAATCAATTAAAACTTCCTTTTCTACTTATTTTTGCAGATGATATTCTAATTATAACGAAGTCTAAAGCAGAGATGGAAGAGATACTTAAAGAATTAGAAATCTAGCTGGAGGTCGTAGGACTAGATATAAACTGCAAAAAGAGTCAGGTTTTAATTAGATATCCTAATGATAAAGTGCAACATCCTAACGAAATCATCTTAAACGGCAAGACATTTAAAGTATGTGACAGTATAACATATTTAGGAGTTTGTTTAACATCTACATTGAACAGAAAATTAACTTGCAGGCAGAGATGTTTAAAAGCGGTTAAATCATCTAAGATTATAGTAGAATTTTGCAAGAAGTTTAAACCAAGCTGGGAATTAGGTAAATTAATGTATAAAACAGTGATATCACCGTCCTTACAATACGGCACCAAAGTAGCAGTTTTGACAAAGAAAAGTAGAATTACAATAGCTAACTATGAGAAACTTATTTTGAGGAGTATATACCAGTACTGCGTAAAACCTAGAGAAATTAAGTTTAATGCAAGAAAGCTACTAGACGGTAAAACTATTAATAGGAGAATTAGGGTGGGGCCTATTAGTTACTTTGGACATGTTTTGCGAAGGGATAAAAATCACCCTTTGAAGTTAGCATATAATTTAAATTTTGAAAAGAAGAAAGAGGGTCGACTTAGTATAACTTGGAAAAAATCATTAGAGCAAGACTTCCAAAGATTCCAGAACATGGACAAAATAAGTTTTGAGGAGCTTTCAAAGGATAGAGAAAAAATGAAAAGAACATTAAATGAAGTATACAATAATGAAGAGAGTAAAATTTCCGATGGAGAGTCATCAGATGAGGACAATAAGGGAAAGACGTACAAACATTGGAAGAAGAAAATAAGAATGTGATGGGAGAGCAGCGAGTTAGTAAAGTGGGATATGAGAAGAATAGCAAACAGTTGCAGTTACCGAAGATTTTAATTGTTTTAAATTGTGGTTGTTTAAAAAAAAATCACGTCGATTTAGGGTGGTAACCTCCAACTAGGTCGGCCAAATGTTGTAAAGGATCGTGATCGGATTTACCGGGAAATACCGATTGGAGCTTATGACCATTATGGACAGGTTGGTCCATCAAAGGTAAGATAAATTAATAAACATATAAAGTGTCCGTTCGATATTGGCAACACGTCCCCAGTATATTTAAACTGCTTGTGCTCTGCAGTTATATTATTAAATTCTGCTTAATAATTTTCTTAGATTTTCAGTAAAATTGTGGAGCTTTAAACGTCACCTGCAGGCCTGTTCTGCGAGTAGTATGGCTCTCTGTCGCTAGTAGGGTGACGGTGGTCGCCTCGTGTGAGGTGACTCTTCATTTGATTGCACGGAGAGTCACCCCACTAGTGCGTGACTTTTGTTGACTCATTGGTGGTGGAGATTCGCACGACTCGCGGAATAGGTCAGATGATAAGATTTGCATTTATTAAACATTTTGAAAAGCTAAGAAGTCAAAATTGTGTTGACAAAATCTAACGGGTAATGCCGATGTAAATATATATATACACACATTAAATGCCAAGGGGAGGGATGGGACCACCAGGGCACCGGATTGAAGCGATTTGGATGGGGAGAGTGGAATTGCCAACTCCCTGTCATTAACATTTCGTGAATTGACGGCGGGCTCTTCTCCCCACTCATTGGGACGTTCCCTCGTATGATGGCTTGTTCTACATCGGGTTGTAAGATTTTATCATTGGAAGGCGATTCTCCTGATCCCGCGGATTGCGCGTAAGTGTATCTGCTTACGGGTCCGCCCCTCCGTTTTTGGCCCTTCTTACAATGGTAAATTGAATACAACCAGGTATCGTACTTGATCAAGTCATACTTGGAGGATGATCCACTGTCTAATGGCTGTGCCTTGCAACAATGAGTGGTATCCTTTACATCACATCACATTAATAAAAGATCCTTCTCTTCTTTGTAGTCGCTATAACGAACTGGTCGTCTTTTTACTTTGCTCCATTCTTCCCAAGAATAGAATCTTCTGTAACACCTCAAACATAGAAAAAGAATCAATAAGTTGTCTAGATCGCAGTTTAAGAAAAATCTCAAAAATAAAATTGAATGCGCCTAGGACTTAAAATCTCGATCGTGACAAATTAGAGATCTAGGAGTACATTTTAGAGTTCTTTATTTTTTCTAAGACCTGGAATTTTTGTTTTTGTATTACCGAAAAAAAAACATATGGGAAACATACAAAACAATTTAATGGACTTAAAAAGGAACTCAAGGACCTGTGACATGATTTATTTTCCTCGATGTTTGGACAAATACTAAAGCTACCAGGGTTAAAGATTATTCAAATTTCTGGCTTTTGAGCTTGAAAATTTTCCTAGACCATTTTTTTACATTGAACCAACGGGGGGTGCTACTGTACGGTTAATGTACTTCAACTTCAACAAGTGTTTTTTTTCTAGAATGCAATCATTTAATGACTCAAATAAATCGAAATATATATCTATAGTCTATCACCAATTCACTTCATCATTACTACAAAATCTTGCTGATTCCCGTAACTTTTAAGTGATGCCAATTTGAAGATCATCGGAAAGTCCGATAAAATTTTCGTGAAAATCAATTGTTTTCTATGTGATTCACTCAAATGTAATCTCTCCCCCACCTATTATTCACCTGAAAAGTGTGATAGAAAATATCTACGTGCCTTTCAGGTGAATTTTACGTTACTTTTGCAGTGTAGGCTTGGACAACTTTCAAGATTTCAATGTAGAGTAAAAACTTTACTCTAAGTTTTTAAAGTCAAATTCTTTACTATCAACATTGGTCGTAAAAAAGTGACTTTAGTGACTAAATTTTAAGAAATAGTGACTTTTAGATGAAAAAAGTGAGTTTGTGTCTGACTTGAAAATAGTGAACAAGTAACTAAAAAGTGATCTGCTACCAGCCCTGCATTGACTCCTACTCAATGAATTTATGTATCGATTGCAGTTTCAGCCAAATAACAAAAAAATATAATAAAAGTTAGTTAAGTACAAAAATTAACTAACATTCTACGTGCATATGTTTAGGGGATTATCCCAGTTTGCCATGTATTTATCGAATTTCTGTATGTGTATTTAGATTTTTATTCCCAGTTTCAGTCATCCACTCATAGCAATTCATAGTATTACTCTTGCCAATTTTTCATGTATGAAGTCTATTAATAAATGTAATGATTGAAAATAGCCCGTGTTTCAAATTCCGTAAACAACAGCTTCCAAGTAAAGTCAAATCACGCAACTGAACACCAATCATCTCCGTTCGCGGTACGGCGCCTAACCTTGCATGCAGTATAAAAGTCAATGATTACATCAAATGGTACTAAACACTGAGCGCTGGAATGGAAAACAGTAGTAAAAAACAAATCAAATCAAAACATTCAAACAAATTCACCAGTGCGTGACTGGTGCTGCCGCGGACGAGAAATGGCGAAATTTGTTTTTGTTTACATTTAACCGTTGTTTTTTTTCCTAGGTCTGTGTTCCGTCTTCTTCAATATCTCGTCCAATTCGACCCAAGTTCCGTTCGTTTGCTATTTTCACCGTCGTCTGGGATTTTCCTCTCGCTGCTTACTTTTCTCCATTTCACCTGACTACTGTTTATCTTATTCTTCTTCTCCGTCTTCTGCTTCTTCTTATTTTATCTTGTGCTCTGTTTGGTTACCCCATGTCCCCATATAATGTATATTCAATTTTCCTTATCTCAGAATCGCTCAGCTCGCAGATTGTGCAAAAGCCTAAAAAATCCATCACCATTCGCACTGCTACTGCACTGCATTCCGCTACTTTTCTCCACCTGCTATTGGTTTAATTTTCGCGCACCCTCACCCCTTCTCGAGCGGCAATCAAAAATTCACCAAGCAATTCGCGCTTTCACTGATTGATATGGAAACGCTTGTTTGTGTGTTCGTCTTCTTTTTTCCGCTTCTTTGTTTTGCTTTCCATTTTCTCCGCTGTTGTTGTTGTTTTCCACTCTTTCGAGGCCACTGCTGTGCTTAGTTGATGCGGTTGTTGATAAAATTGTGTTTTTGGTTTCCTCTCTTAAGGTCTGTTTTCGACGGTTGTTTTTGTTATTTTATTGTTATTATCGCTCTTTCTCGCCGTTTCTAATTTTAGCAATCCAAAAACCACACAGAAGCAATGAAATTTCAAAACAGAAAAAAAGTGTGGCGAATGAGAAAATGCAGTTGATTCACCACCCAACCGTGTAGGTGGTTGGTGGTGGTTGGTGGGTGGGTGGTTGTTTGTTATGGTTGCATAAAACGAAAGGCCTCGTCTCTGCAATTTTCGTCGGTACCGTATGAAATTCACGTAAACAGTTCAGAAACAACGGCTTTCCAGACGTTGCTGCGCTGTTAAATAATTCAATTCAAATTTGAGTTTCGGTCGCTCAAATTCGCAAAATTGCGAATTTGAGCGAATGGAACTCAAATTTGAGTTGAATTCTTTTACATTTTGGTACTTAAACAAAGCAATGATAGGTCAACAAAGAAACCAAACTTACCTCATCCGCATAGTGCACCGCGTCGACTTCGTACTTCTTCTTGAAGTCGTCCAACGATAGAAGAGGGCCCATCCAAACGGCATACTCGGTCGGAAGGCGTGGCACGAATAGGGTTGTAGTTCCGGTCGCCACATCCACGGTGCCGTAGCAGCCGGGTTCCGTTACGCCGAACAGGTACATGAAATAGGACTCCTGTGTTTTGTAGGTGGGAAGAAAAGTTGAATGGTGAATCATTATTTAAATCGTCTACAGGTATAGGAAATGCATTCGGGACATCTAATCAAAATACAGTTGGACGGTTTTAATTCATTGACAAAGACTGCTTCGTAAGATAAGATATATTTGACTCAAATGCTAAATCTTGCATTTAAAAAGATCATCGTATCCTAAAAAACTAAAATATACTTTGTTGAAAATACTAATTTCAAATAGCAGACTAAAGTGGTAGTTTTTATACGATAGATAAGGAGATGAAAGTACAGAGTTGATAGTTCCGTTAGAGTACGGCAGTGTGAAAATTGTATATAGAGAGCAGAGATGCCAGATTTTTTTTTCAGAAGTCTGCGAAAAATGTCTGTGAATTTCAGAAATGTCTGTAATTAGGCTGCAAAAAATTAGCAGAAGTTTTGCGTGTGACAGGAGGGGGGGGGGGGCGTCATGAAATAGATGCAAAATTTTAAATGTCAGTAAAAGTCATGTTCGAGCAAAAACGACCTGCTTTTAACAAATTGAACCTAATTGGAGTGACACGACAAATGAGGTCGACGCCAAGTTGAGATTAGTTCACTCATATTCTTGAAAACTGTCATAGACTGAGTAAAAACTTTTCGAGATTTTACAGGAATTTTTTTTTCTAATATGAGCAACATCTCTATGTACATATGTAATAAGTACACGGAAAAAAGTTTTCATGTAGTTTCCATTGGGAATGCACATTACATTTTTCCATTAACAAAACCAATGATATCTTTTTGAATTTCATTCATTTGATCACATGAGTTCTATATGATAAATCACTTGAATTTCATTTGACAAATAAGGTTCATGAGATTTTGTGGTGCAATTCCCAATTATGATATCACAGGAAAGTTATGTAGGGGCCTCCCTTAGCTCAGTCGGTAAAGGCGCAGCTACAAAGTAATACCATGCTGGAGGTGGCTGGGTTCGATTCCCGGTCCGGTCTAGGAATTTTTCGGGTTGGAAAATTTCTCGACTTCCCTGGGCATAGAGTATGATTGTACTTGCCACACAATTATACTAATGCAGAAATGGCACAGGCATCGAAAGCTCTCAATTAATAACTGTGGAAGTGCATCTAGAACACTAAGTTGAGAGCACGCAATAAGCTAATATGCGACATACAATAAGCTTGAAATGCGAAGAAGAAGAAGAAGAAGAAGAATGAAAATTATGTGAAATTCCAATGAATATTTTCCATTGGATATGTGATTTATTCTTTGAGTGTATACTTCTAGAGTGAGTAGATTTCTTGACGATTTTTGTCATATTCGAATAGATTTATGAGGATAGTTTTACTCAGTCTACAAGTAAACTACGTTTTCTAGAGTTTGAGTAATTTAAACTTAAATTTTAGTCGACCGTATATGCCATGTAGTGTGGAAATCCGTTAGTTACTTTGCACGCCAGCAGCGGGGGAACGAGCACATATTAGTGAGAGATTCAACTTTCCACCACCTAAATATGGAGAAATCGACAATCAAAAGAGCAATTTATAAGCTTATTAATACGAGTCTAAACACTTCATGCTCAAAAAGTGTTGATGAATCAGGATCGGGGTCAGTGCTGAGATTTGACATTGTCATTGAAAGACTGTCGCGCGATATTGACAAAATTGTTCATCACATAGGCACTGACAAACTTGATTCTCAAAAAAAAAAAACCTTCGGCAAAATATATTTCATTTTTTCTTCAATGACAAAGATTCACCTGGTAAAAAAAATTGTAATTTCGTGCATTCTGTGTCACATTATTGTTATCCAAGCAGTTCAGGACGTAGTTGCTTGTTTACTTTAACGGCTCCATGTAATTGTGTTGCTCAAGTCATCTAATTTCGTTACAAATTTAGTTAATAACAAATATACACATGTTCGTCACTGACAGCATGTTCATTGATAATTGACATGGTTTGCCTTGACTGTGACTGAGATCATCGAGAAAGGAAGAGTACTGTACAACGAAGCCAAGTATGATGAATTGGCGCTAAACACTAACACTGTTGGAACGATTTTAAATACAGTTTTAAAATAAGATATATCAAGCAACATATTCATTACAGTTTGCAAAATAATTACACACCTGGGGGAGAAAAACTTGGCTAAATTTAACACAATTAGCTAATACCAACCTTTTTGCCTTGCTCGTACACCAAGTACCGAAAGGCATGATATTACTTGAAAAACACAATTTCGTTGCAAGACCCGGAGAAACGAATGGCATATAGCAATAGACTCATTTCAACGGGATCGGAAAATGTTTCTGTATGTGTTTATATATGTATGCATGTATTTATATAGGTTCATATGACGGTAACTCACTCAATTTTCGCAGAGATGGCTTGACCAATTTGAGTGGAACAAGTTCCAGAAGATGTCTTTCAGATCCCCACAGATCGCTATTGATGTTTTTCCCGCTCGGAATTATGGTTCCGAAAATATGAACAATTGGACATATTCAGACCCAATGATCACAATGGCCTCTTTCATATGGGTCTCCCGGGAAGTGGACAGATTCTGGCATGCGCCAAAATGCATCGTTTGAAAAAGTTCGTTATGGGGTTTCCTCTCGGGTTCCCTTTGATTTTTCTCGATTTTTCCACATTTTTACGACTCTTATTCAGGTACAAACGGCGAAAATGGCTGCTTCGTTCAGCACTAAAACTGTAGGAAAATAATAAACTACTTTACACGGCAATGCACCCGCTAGTGTGCCTACGTTAAACGTCCCTAATCTCTATAACAATGAGCTCGTTCGGATGGAAAACAATGTAACCAAATAAATTTAGAAATTTTTACTTGATTGCAAAAGTCTGTAAATATCTGTGAAAAAACTAAAAAGTCTGTAAATGTCTGTAATTCTGGCATCTCTGATAGAGAGTAGAAAGCGAGCAAGGACAACTTTAGGAAGGAACAAATCGGTTTGATCATCTCTCTTTACCAAACTCCCCCGTTGGGAGGGATGGTTGAGGGGTATTCTCCCCGCCACCATTGTCAAAAAGAGATGATCACCGACACGCTCAAGTACCGAAGATGTGTTGGAAATAGTTCTATCGATTTTTTACCGCACTCAAGTTGTCATTTGAAGGAAGGCATCTAGTCGAAGGTTTGGAAATTGCAGCTATTGTTGCCTCTACCACGGTATGTGCTCCTGTCATCGGCGACTTGACGATCTCGAGAAGACACGCGTAGGGGAGGTTCCACTACTGTACCTTTCGACTAATGACAGTAATTGATGGTAAGCTTCTAGAAGTAACTCTAGATGGGACTTTTCCCAGCACACATTTATCAAACAAAACTAAATATTAAAGCCTTCATTGTGGCAGATGCAAATGTTCCTCCTAATATCTCTATGCTTTTTTTTATTGACAATAAAAAAAAATATGCTTGTATGCATGTTCAGTTCATTGCATTCACTTTTTCAAAGTCTAGAACGTCATATCATTAAGAGTATTTTCAAATATATCATATTAACAATATGATCCGTTCATGCCTTTTCCGAACATTGCAATGGTGACTTGAAAATATGGCTTCACGCACTAGCTAGCGTTGAAAAAAGTCAACAACAATCCTCAAATTACAATATAGCACTTATTACAAAAATAAAATTCAAGTTATTTTCACTAATTATATTTAGCATATTTAATGAAAATTTGTCAGACGTGTCACTGTTTCAATAAATAAAATAATATGCTGAAATAAATACATTTCAAATCAGTGGCGCCACGTCCACATGAGCAACCTGTGCACGACACAGGTGTGAATAAAAAAAAATGCGTATAGCTTTTTATAGATTTCATGGTCACATTATAGCTGTAATTCTTTGCTCAAGACCACAAGTGACCATAAATACACTATTTTATAGTGTGGCTTAATTAAATCTTCGACCTTGGTTTGCTTCAAAAAGGATTAAATTCAGTTCGGATGGTCTGCCTAATCCCTAATGCATTGATTTCTAAACATGTCGATATCACTACCATGACAAAACTCGTAAAATAGTGCACCTAAAAGCGAGCTTTTTTGGGTGGCGTGTGGCAAGTTTGTAAATAGCCAAATGCCTGATGTAAGCAAAGCAGACCTCTTGAAACATACCACACATTTTCCACAATACATGGCGGTTTGCACCACTAGTTGTAATTGAAACTTTCAGCAGTCACGGTGCCTTAAGCGTGCATTTTTCGCTGTGCACTTGGATATCTGATTGCAGGCAAAGAGAGTAATAGAGAAAGAGAGCGCAAAAACTCGCTCTCACTCTCTTGTCAGTTGTAAATCTCTCAATTACCGATGGTTGCGCCGGTGCGCCTGTCAAAACTTATGAGCTTCCCCTGGTTCATTTTGATAGTGTTGTTCTGACGAATAAAGAGTTGATTAATTCAAGTTTGCTACCCAGGGGACTTCATGAATTTTCTCTAGATTTTGACACTGTTTTGTATCAAACAATGTTTTCGAAAGTGTTTGACGGTTATTATTATTATTATTTAACTTTATTAATGAGGCTTTCAGCCTTGGGCTGGTTCGCCTACATTGACGGATATTCTTTATAACACTGCAGTCGAAAGAGTTAGCCTTGTGAGAATTAGTTAAGTTTTGAAATTCCTACTACTTCGGTTAGTGCGAAAAGGACCATACAAGTTTTGTATACACAAGATGATAGGCCCTTCAAATGTTACGTTAGGTAGTGATTAATATAGTAATTGAGAATATGTCGCTCGAATTAATGGAGCATTTAAAAACAAAACAAAAACGAATAGGGGAAATGTCGACTTTGACAATACCTTAACCTATAGAGATTAGTGACGTTCAACGCACACACACTAGCGGGAGCACCACGGTGTAAAGTTGTTTATTATTTTCCTCTGGCTAACCTAAAAAATGTATGAAAGTAGATCTGTCAAAATGAGTTTGACATCGATTTGTTATGTATTTTCCTCGGATATTCACTAACACACTCTCACATAT